CTTGCAAGCTTTTGTTTGTCTGTTTGTGTCCTTTGGCCTGATTATTTTTAGGCAAGAAAAATAGTTTTTCCTAAGTACTCTGTTCAGAGACTGGTCTGTGGAGCCAAATCTGTAGTATTCAACAAGGCAGTGAAGAGCAGTCTCACCTGCAATCACTCAGACCTTAGGTGGTGAAATATTTATATGAGGTCACACTTCCTCCAGAACAACTCGAGCTAAGAACGGAAATGTTGTGCTCCCTGAAAGAAGGATTCTTTGAGATGTTGCAGCATATAATTAATTAGAAGAGCTGCAGAATCAGGGCATGTCCTGAAGACTTTTCCCTACTCCTGACATGAATACTTCCAAATTATTCAGGAACTGGTTCTGCTCCCAGTTGTTCTCTCTCTATTGAATAGCATCTTGGTTAACAGATTGCCTCTGAAGGACTAAGGTGCTGTGACAGATTCAACAAAGCCTTTCTACATGTACTTAACTTTAAATGTGTTCACAGATTAATGAAGGTGAGAATGTATCCCTGGTCACCTGATTCAATCAATTGCCAAAATTTTCCCTGTTAATCTTGTAACATGTTCACAAGCTTCTCATGAGCATTCAGTAAAACACAAAAGCACATAATCTCTTCAGAAGTGTATGTGCATATATGATTAACTTCAGGGATGCATTTATTGAGTGAAACACCATAGATATATTCTGAAATGCCACTAGATAATTCTGGGTAACTGTCAGAGGAGAATGGTCTTCATGAGTCTGCTTGGGGAGAGAGATGGGGTATTCCAGAGAGCAGCTTTTAGAGTACCTGTTTCTCTCCACTGATCCTCCTTCCATTGATTGGAAGGAGGCAAAGTTCATAAACTAGGCGTTGTGATTAGATGCCTAATGTGAATCTATGTCATGGTCCTCATTCTGTTCAACAGATTTTTTTCATATCTGAAAGATTCAAAGTCTTACCATTGAATTCTCTACTTTCATATAATACCTAGTGTTAGTGAGGAAAGCAAACTTACCAGGAAGCTCTGTCAGTGGTTCCCTCTTGCCTCCCAACTCTCCCAGCCCTATGCCTCCTATATCCATTTCTGCCATTTCTCCCCAAGGACTAAAGGCCAAAGAAAATTATGAGTTGGAGACTCTTTCTTCTCTGTTTTATATTCTCACTTCATTTTCTCTCTTAAACTTTCCTTGGTTTGTTGTCTTTTCTAAAGAAACCTCTCTGGGTTTGGCTCTGTTGTGCAGCTGCACAATAGTCAAGAATGGTGATTTGTGAAATGCCATAAACAGAATTTGTCAAAGGTAATCTTTTTGGTGTTTCTGCCAGACTAGAGCTTCTGAAATATGGCTGAGAAACTGGAGGGAATTCAGAGAAGAACTGTAGATATGATCAGTACTTGTTGGAATATAAAATTTCCAAAGAACTAGAATAATGGAGATGTGTTCAACCTGAAAGCAAAAGCATGGGAGAAAGTGTGTGGGTGAGGAAAAGGCATAGCTGCTACCTATTAAGTTAAAGAGATTTTACAAAAGGATGCAGGGAGCTTGTTCACATTACTCAGTGAAGGTAAAGCAAGGAATAAAAAGCCTCGATTGCAGCAGAGTAGCAGCTTTTGATACCATCTCCAATGGATACTCCTGGAAAAACTAGACAGACCCACTATTGGCTGGTTTAAGAACTGGCTGGATGCGATGGTGGTGGTGAGTGGTGCTGCCTCTAGTTAGTGGCCAGTCACTGGTGGTTTTCCTCGTGGATCAGTGTTGGGTCCAGTCCTGTTTATTATGTGTATTGATGATCTGCCTGAGGGCATCGAGTCTACATTAGCAAATTTGCAGCTGACACCAAGTTGGGTCAGAGTGTTAATCTGCAGGAGGGGAGAAAGGCTCTGCAGAGGGATCTGGACAGGATGAACTGATGGGCCAAGACCAAGTCCATGAGGTTGAACAAGGCCAAGTGCCAGGTCCTGCATTTTGTCCACAACAACCTCATGCAGTGCTACAGGCTGGAGACAGAGTGGCTGGAAAGCAGCTCAGTGGAAAAGGACCTGGGGGTGCTGGTTGACAGCAGCTGGATGTGAGCCAGCAGTGTGCCCAGGTGGCCAAGAAGGCCAATGGCATCTCGGCTTCTATCAGAAAATAGTGTGGCCAGCAGGACCAGGGAAGTGATTCTTCCCCTGTACTTGGCACTGGTGAGGCCACACCACAATTCAGAAAAGAGACTGAGGTGCTGGAGTGTGTCCAAAGAAGGGCAACAAAGCTGGTGAAGGGACTAAAGCACAAGTCCTATGAGAAGTGGCTGAGGGAGCTGGGCTTGTTTAGACTGGAGAGAAGGAGGCTCAGGGGAGACCTTATCACTCTTATACCTGATAGGAGGTTGTAGCCCAGGGAAGGTCGATCTCTTCTCCCAGGCAAATTTTGACAGGACAAGAGGACACAGCCTTAAGTTGCACCAGGGGAGGTTTAGGTCGGACATTAGGAAGAAAGGGTGGTCAGACAATGGAATTCACAGAAAGCGTTGTCAGATATTGGAATGGACTGCCCAGGGAGATGGTGGAGTCGCTGTCTCTGTAGGTGTGTAAGAAAAGACTGGACATGGCACTTAGTGCTACGGTCTAGTTGACATGGTGGTGTTCGGTCATCAGCTGGATTCGATGATCATGGAGGTTTTTTTCAACCTAATTGATTCTATGAGTCATGGAAATTTTAGCAAAAGCTTGTCAGATTTGTAGTTATTGGTGTGACAAGCCACTGAATCTTCCCTGGATGCAATGTGCAAGGTGAAACAAAATACCCTGTGAAACAGAGCTGAAGAAAGAATATTACAGTCCATCCTACAAGGATGGGAAATGAACTATCAAGTCCAGCAGAGTGCTGTGTCAGCTGGCATGAGAGTGATGTATTGCTCACCAACAGAGGGGTTTGTTGGGAGTTCAGCAGGGAAGAGAGCTGGCTAAAGAGGAACTAACAGTACAGATGGTGACTCAGATTTGTAGTCCCACTTGATTACTGAGTGAATCTCTTTAGAACTGGAGATGGCTCCAAATAGCACTGAGCTGGGCATGGAAAGAGAGAGAGAAGAGAGGCAGCTATGAGAAGTAAGAATGCCAAGAGAGTAAGTAGGATTTTCAAAGGTCCCACAGGCTACATCTGTGCCATCACATTCATTTGAGGTTTGAGTTTGCACTTGGACACTCCAGGCTGGCTGCCTGCTGGCTTATACTTTCACTCCAGTCTGGGATGAGACTGCTGAGTTCTTGGGCAAGTGTTGGCATGATGAAGGATGTTCTGTCTTAGAGCAAACCTCTCTCCATGAAGCATTGTAGATACAACTAGCTCAACTCTGGGTGCAGAAAATTCTCCCCTCACCCCAGAATAGAAGAAAGAAAGATGTAAATCTATGCTGAGTAGACATGTAGATGTAAGGATGCTGGACTGGGAAGGTGAGCTAAGGAAAATGTGCTAAAATAACTCCAAAAGCTAGGAAAGAGAGAGAGAGAAACAGAGTTAAACACATTAAAGAGGGGTTGGAAAAGAAATACATTTGAAAAAAGATAGGGTTTGTTATAGGAGAAAGTGTAGGCAAGAAAGAGGACAACATGGAAGGATTTTTTTAAGAGGTGAAGGAAATGAGATAATACACTGTGGATGTAGTCATGCTAAGCATACGGAGCATGGTGAGGAATGATTAGATAGCAGAAGAAAATGTTCTGTATAGACTTGTATGGTATCCTGTTTGTGAGAAGTGAACTTGAGCAGTTGCTGCCAGGGATTTTTAGAAAGAGAGTAACAATTTTATTTTGAACAAAAGAAAGGTCTAATTCAAAATTATATGAAATAAGTAGAAACTGTATCGATGTAAAAAATATGAAGTCATCCAGGATTATCACGGTGTTTTCTTTCTGCCTGTTCTGCAGCCCTCCCCCTTTCTTTTCAGTCCTTATTCCAAAATTAAGTATAGGGTCAGGTTTTTTTTTTCCCTTAGCAATTGCATCAGCCATAGGCATGCATCACATGGTAAATGAAAGAGTATGAATAATTCAGAACAAAATTTTGAATCATTTAAAAAGTAGAAACTTCACATTTCATTGCTGACCTGTTCCTACATAAAATCTACAAAAAACCACATTGTAATTTCTACAACAAAACCATTTCAAGTATTTGAAAATATTCCTGCATGCATTTCATTCTGTCCAAAGAATATTTCAATCTCAGAGTTTTCCAAAACTCTGTTTCACATTTCATGAAAAAATAACCAGGAGATAATTAAATACTGGGTATATGCTGTCCAAACATGGAATGCTATACATATTTCCAAAAATTTTTGTGACTTTTGCCTCCAACGTTGATGGAAAACATAACGTTGTTAACCAGTTAAACTGACTGTATTAGGGAATTAACATGATCTCCTGCTATCATCATGCACATATAAGTATGCCACCATTATTGCTTGTTACTGTGCATTTTTGGCTCCTGTAACAACAGGACAACTAGAAAACAGCATTTCTAAGCCTAAGCCAAAAAGCTTAGCAACAAAAACATGAAGCAAAAAGCCAGTGCAATACAGACATTGTTTTTTCTAGTGATAAGAGCATGAGGATGGAATGAACAGCTTTACAATTTGTTCCCCAGTTTAACCACTGATTCAATGTGACTTCTGAAGAGGGACTTTATCCTCTCCTCACTGAGGGTTCCTAACTCATTTTCCTTATCTTTGAAACAGTAGCAGGACTGACCCACTTTATAGCTGAGGTTCTGAGTGACCAAAGGACACAGAGTTTGTAAAGCACACTGACACCCTCCAGCATGAAATCGCTACAGATAAGGCAAATGTGATGCTGATCGCCTTCCATGCAGCGTGATTAATGAGTCTTAGGCAGTTGTTCATGGCAGTGAAGCCGCTGGTTATCATGGCATTAATATGCATTTACATTGCTCTGGCCACAGTATTAGAACCCGCGTTCCACAGGAGTTAACGGGGCAGTGCCCTCCAGGGACGGTTGGGGGTATCCTACCATTCGGTTCCCGCCCTGTTGATCTCTTCCCACCAGCACTCTGTCGGCTCACCGAGGCTCTGGGATGCTGGCATGCAGGCATAGTTCCACAGTCTGTCAGAGCCTTCCTTCTTGCTGAAAACACTTCTGACAGCCACGATCACCTGCCCGTGTGGGCACTGGAAGTTAAAACCCTGCCGGTACACATTGACCCATTCATCATTATCTCCATAATTATAGGGACCGTAGTAATAGTCACTGTACTGGCCCCATGCCACAGTCACCAGAGGCAGGAACACACAGAGAAGGACAAGGTCCATCCTGAAGATGTTCCTGTCTTAGAAATGCCCTGCTGGTTTGTTGGGCTGGCCCTTTTATATCGCATCCAACATTTGGCTTCCAGATGTTATATTTCCACTTCCAAGTGCAATGTGTCATTGCTTAGCAAACCTTCTCTGAGTTACAGAGACGTCCAATTACTCTTAAGGTGGAATTCTGCAAGTACAGTGAGTCTGCAGTCCCTAAGATCAGGGTCTCTGCACCACCACAAACCATCTGTGATCCTTTAGTGCAGAGCTACTGTATAGAGCAAGCTACACATCAGAGTACAACTGTCACAGACATCCCACTTTTATCCTCAAGACAGCAGTTAAGTTTGAAAACTACTTTATTTGAAATTAAAGCTCTATTTGAAGTTGCCATTTTCCATCAGTAGTAACATGTGACAAACTGTGATCATGCATGTGTGTGTGACCACCCTCTTTTCCCTAGATGTGTGTGATATGGTTCTGCCAGTGCCTAGAAAGAAGGGAATTGGGCAAGGGCAGGGAATGCACCACTCGTGTTGTAAAAACTCCTTTAGAAATTTTGATTTGGTGAGGTTGGAAGGAAGGTGGGGCCCAAATGACTGAGACTCTGTCTTGGCATAAAAAGAGCCCACCCTGAGAAGTAGGGCATTGGCTCCTTCCATGCAGAACTGATTTTTGCTATGACTGTATGTGAGCTCCATGAAACTGTGGATTTGGCAGGTGTTTTGATTTGAGAATAGCAAGTTACAATGAGGTAACCTTCACGTGTGACCAGAGCCTACTGAAACCTTGAACATGAATGACCCTTTAAGCTACCTCGATTTTATCATAGGATAGGAACATGCTGAGGAACTCTTGTGCTGCAAATTCAAAATCTGACTTGCCTCTTGGAAAGTATATATATGCAACATCCTTGGGCTGTTTCTTTATCAGGAACCTACTTTATTCAGGAGAGTGAAATGGTGTGCTTTACTTAACTGTGTACTTGACCCATAGAAAACTCTGGGACTTGAGTATGCTTTAATAACTAAGACAGTCCAAAGTCAAAGGATCTAGAAACTGTTTCTTGCTGCAAGTTTCTCCTCCACTCTTTTTACTACCTCTCTTCCCCATTTGGCCCATGCACAAAAAAAGAAAAGTCTGTGAGCTTTTATTCTGTTGCTGGTACTGACAGAAAGACCTGTGATGGGTGACAATGGACTTGCTCTTCTCTAGGCATCTCCAAACCCATTGTGCCTGGTCATGGCTTTGCAGGAGCATAAGCATCCCAGGAGACAGGTGCCTTTACTAATAAACCTTGGATTTCAAAAGCTACCTTCAGCCTCATCAACCAGGTGCTTTTGTGCCTTTAGCTAATGGCTCTTCTTGTAGCTGAGCCTTGTTTGACAAAACTATAGGTGGTGGTTGGCTCTTTTCCAGAAAAACAGTGCAGCAATATCTCGGCTGTCTGTGCTCACAGCCAGTGCAGATCCACATGCACCTGGCAGGTGGGAGCTGCTGATATAGCTCAGTGCCTCACCTCCTGTAGCAGCAGCAGCCCCAGATGCCTGGGAAAGGGGGCTATGGAGACAACAGAAAAGAGCCCTTTCCTTAGAACTGCCTTCCTCTAGATCTTAGGTAATAGTAAGGGACATAGGTAGCCAAAGTCTAAAGAGAGTGGAAATTTAAGATTAAAAACCCTGTAGTTAAATAATGGGCATCAGAGTGCATGAGCTGCATAATCTTACAGGGTTTTTCAGCTAACTCAATAGAGTGTTTTTTTCTCTCTTACTTCCTTAGAAACATAGTCACATCTGGGAGCACTACACACTGTTGTATATGCCTGAGAGGCATTCTGGAAGAAGTTTTAGCAGGAAGAACCACATTATCATATATAACTGATCCTCACCTCACATAACCCTTTATAAGCACCATGGCTGGGATGAAAGTTCTTATATAGCCCATAATTTTATGGGCAAGAGTGGGGAGGAGAGCTCTGTGGAAAGTAGACTCGGTTTTATTTTGCCTACCTCTGACACGCCTGGGAAGCTTTGAGGAGTTTGTTGTCACTTCTTACATAGAGTCTACCCTGCCTGATACCAGTTAGTGAATAGGGTGGCACTTCCATCCTTCACTGTGATCAAGAAGTGGCTTGGCCGGGGGAAAAAAGCTGTGCAGGGAAGATAGTGAGCACGGCAGATGTGAAACAACAACTCTCTGTAGCAGCCATGGCAGTGTAGACATGTCCTGACCAGGGACTGACTGAAAATCTACAGCTCTGTGTTTCTGGATCCAGTGCTTTCTGGGAACTTTTAATATTAAATTTCATGTTTCTCTCTGAACTGAAGAAAACCAGAAGAGAGCAGAATTTCTTACAGGACACACATGATGCTTTTTAGTCACCTTGAAGATGGGTAGTATTTCTGAGTGTGAGGAACTGTGATTTTAAAATTCCTGTAGGGGTTAAAAAAAGACAATAGTGTGCATATGTGAGTTTTGTTTCTGAATAATATTCATTCCTCTCTGCTGGTCACAACTTCTTGGTCATGGAGCAAAGATAAGACTACCAGCAATGTTCTGCTAACATTTCACACCATTGCTGCTATCCAGGTAATTCCACTGATGCTGCCAGTGCTAAAGTGGCAATTTTCACTACGTTTCCATTGACTCACTGGCATGTTAACCACTGTGCCTTATTCTGTTCTAGTCAGTGAATCAAGTATAAAAGTTCAAAACCCAGAGGCTAGAAGAGCTGCAAACTAGTCTGCATCTTGGTGACTTTGGTTGGCTTCAGATATGGTTTCGCTATGAGAAAACACTGATATTTAAAAATCAGTTCCCATCTGAAATTACTTGTCCTTTGATTTTACTTTAAAAACAGCAGCTGCATGCCTTGCACATCCAATCTTTGGAAAAGCAGAAAATGTCAGTGAAGTAGCACATATGAGGTGCTAAGACCAATCTTTCATTGGAAATGGAACCTATATTGGCTAGCAATTTTGTTCCCCATCAGTTCTTAGAAATGCTGCATTTAATCAACACAAAAAAATATTTGTTTTCTGTCTTGTCCAGTGGTCACAGAAGGGAGTGATTATTCTTGGTACCTCTCCTCCCTGGCCTAACTTTGGAGTTAGCTTGAATTTGAGCACAGTTTGGACTAGAGGCTTTAAGAAGAATGTCCCTTCCAACCTGAATTATTCTGTGTTTCTCTCCTGCTGAAGATGCTGTAGATGCAGCACTACTTAGTGCTGCAGGTGTTAGTACTGCTTTGGAGCCATTAGGAGAAATGCTGCGGTGTTCTCTTACAGTGCCTTGTTGCAGCCATGAAATGGAGAGAAATTGCTGTGCTTTGAACTAAAATCACAGATGCAGTAGTACTTCTTGAATGAGTAACAGTAGCCAGCTTAATGGGTTTTATTTTAGCACCCAAGCTCTGTACTAAAGTAGGAGCAAGAACGGTAAAGCTTTATTTATTATTTGGCAAACACTGAGATGCTAGAGCTGCAATGAGAAAAGCAAGGGTTCAGACTTCGTCAGTGACAGGTACAACTAGATCTGTGTATACAAAACTGAGTTGCATGAAAGTAGTGTCATGTGATTTTATTGGAATATCTTTGCTACTCGGGTTCCTGTGTCTGCAAGGTCTGTTCATGGGAAGGCAGTTTATCCCCCACTATGAGCGTGGAAGGGCGTATGAAGGTGTTACCTCACAGCGCTTCATCCTTTAGATGCACATCCCATATTACTCAGGACTATAGGCAGAAATGAAGCTTTACATTTTCTGCTGGTGAAGGAGGCTGTGTGTGAATACCCTGAGCCCTGAAGTCGCCTATACACAAAACAGGTGTGACAGGAGCAGTGACAGTAGCAGCATCAATTTACATCTGCTTTCAAGCTAATGCAGCCACATTGTGGCATTTCACTGAGAGAAGAAAGTGTTTTTCATGTCAGCTCATAGCAACACTGAGGTTGCACACTGTGAACACATTTTCCATATTTTATTGCATACTGTCTCAGTGTGATGCTGGCAGTTCTGATAAAGCAGAGTGGCTTGGATGAGTCAGGGAGGCTGCATGATCTGGGAGCTGTAAATTGAATTCAATTACTGATTACTTTTACTTGTCATCTTTGCAGCATGACTTATATATATATATATGTATAAGCTTTCTGCACTGTCAGTAGTTATGAAAGTTTGGGGATTTGGGGTTCCTTTATTATGTTTTTGAAACGACATTACAGAAGCCTTGGTATTATGGAAGACAAAGCTGCTAGAAGGCCATGCTTCATAAGGGATAAAGATATATCCTAGTCAAATTTTTAGCTCAGAGTTATTGTCTCCTTTCAGAGTAATGTATGTGGTGAAGGCTGGAGTTCATTTGTCAAGTTTACTATTAATGATATTTTTCTATCCTTATTCCCTTGATGTTCTCAAAGTACTTTAAGTTCAATCACCCTTTTGAAAAATAGGAAAAGTGAAAAAAATTAATTTACACAGTAGGCCTACTGTCCACCAGTACCTCAGGGCTAGAAACTGATTTTAAGTTCCAGCATCTAGGTACCACTTTAAAATCAGACTCCACTCCTGAGAAAGCACACCTTTCCCTAACCCCTTCTTCTTGATACTTCCCTACAGAGATTCTGGTTCAGCTTCTATTTTGTGTAGTTCTTTCTTTGTAAAAGGCAAACTACTACTTAAGATCCTGTGATACTGTAGGATATTGCAGAGCTGTTTTCTTCTTGGAAGTAGCTGTACAAAATTCTGGTATGATACCGCATGGAATATTGCAGTGAAGAAAGAAAATCACTATCTGCAGTGCTATTTTTCCAAGTTAACGTAAGCCTCTGAATTACTTTTGTAATAGCTTCCTGCCTGCATGTGTAGTATTAAATTAAGGATTAAGTAATAGAAGCAAACAGGAAAAGCAAAACTAAAGTCGTAAAGTCTCTGAGGAAAGGGTAAGAAAGCTGCACTGAAACATTAGTAAAGAAACCACTGAAACAAATTTTCCTGGTCTGGGAAACTGTCTAGATGCTGTGATAACT